AACCAAACAAGCACAGTTACGTTTGTAGTTGAGGGTATTTTTGTCTGAAAAGTCACAAATTGTCAAAACATGAAAGATCATGTTCACTTTATCAATTGGTGAGAGAAAAACTCAATTGTTTCCTTTTTGTAAATTTTTTTTTTTTTAAAATACCATATATTATTATTCTTAACTTTTGTACGAACAGGCAACCACCGTTTTGGGAGTGTATATATATCATACTTAACTGTCAAACCAACTGGTGTCGACCTTTGGAGTTATATGATTTGATTTTTTTCTTCCTCTTATGTCATTTTCTCCGTGCTTCGTATCGTATGTTTCAATTATATGTTAGACACTGCAAAATATGTATATATGTGTGGTGACGATTGATTACTACTTACTTAGTTACTTGAGTTTGGCATTTTTCTCATGAATTTTCGAGTCATTTTTCGTTATTAATAACAATTTGATTTGTTCACTCACAAACGTGTGGTAATGGTCGGGGCCAAGTTGACCTGTTAACACCCAATCATTTACAGCACCTTTGAAAATTAAATATTCGCTTTCTTTTTTTTTGTTTCTTGTAGCATTATAAATTCAATAACATTATCAACAAATTATTGTGGAATTTTGCAGACAAAGCATATGCTGTTGTGTCTACTCCATTTCTACTTTTCACTTATCCTCAGTGACATAATTAAATTGGTGAAAGCGAAGGATTATCTACTGTTCGTATATTGATCTAGAAAAAATGGAGTTCATTTGTGGATGTGGTGGAGTGATGTTACTAATTCACCCAAACATAACCATTATTTATTTTTCTCTATCCAATTACAACAATATCTTTTTTTTTAAGTACGTAATTCATGAGTAGCCTATACAAATAAGTAAATAATTATGATGGAATATATATGTATGTATGGTGACTAACACATATATAGACGTGTTTAAATAATCATTTTGGATTCGAAGGAGGAAGTTGTTGTTGCATTTGCTGATATAATGCAGCCATCCTGCTATATGCTTCCATCGTCGTTGGCTGCAATTCCCAATATATAAATATAAATGGTAATGAAGCATTGATCAGACACAAGTTGTATATCTATATATAGAAAAAAGAGGTCAACCTGAGTCGAGCATGCAAGAAAGGCAGCCATAGGATCGGGAATGAGAGGAGACTGAAATCGAGCGTCGTTTGACGAAGCATCCCATGATGGACAAGTCATGGGCGCAAATGGGTTTGGCATCATGTTGGCATGGATATTAGGAGCGGTTGCAGCAGCAGCAGCTCGGTTCATAGAATTAAGGTCGAGGAGACCGAGCCCGGGCATCCCCATGCCAATCCCTAAACCCATGGGATTGGACATGAGAGACATTTGTAGTTGTTGTTGTTGTTGCTGCATGGCCATAGGAAGCATCATGGAAGGCATGTTCATTCTGCTCATCATGCTCACTTGTGCTTGAAGTTGCTTCAAGTACTCTATCACTTCATCCAACATAGATGCTTTATCCGTCTATAGTTCCAAAGTTAACGAATTATCAAACCTCATTTGTATCTACTAGCTATAATTAACCAAACCAATGCTACGGATATAGTCAAGCATGTGTGTAATGTAGATTGTGTTGATTTTTGAGTCGACAGCCACAAGGCATATAATAATTAAAGGTGTATGAATGGACCAACCGGACCAAGTAAAATAAGTTTTTAGGAGACAAGCAAATAAGAGATTGATGGACATAAGTGTGTGGAGTAGAATCATCGTATGAGGTCCATTTCTTTAGATGCATTCACTTCACTTTGGTCCACCACCCTTTTCTCATATTATCCCCTCGCTCTATTTTCATGTATACCTAGCTAGCTACTATTACTAATCAACTACTACTGTATAGCATCTTTTTGTACCATACGCACGCAGACTCATATGACTTTTATTTAGCCACGTACGTAATAATGTTTATGATACATATGTAAAACGGCATGCGTACCTTGCTGGAATTGGGAACCAGTTTCTGCAAAATCTTCATCCTTTGATTGATCTTATCTCTCCTCTTCTGCAATAAAATCAATCAAGGGTAAAATCGAGGGGGTCATGCATGTAAAACCAATCATCAGTTTGAAAAAAATGGTTGAGTGAATAATTACACGTTCGGATTGGTTATGAATAGCAGCAGCTCTACTTCTCTTGGTTGAAACTGATGATTTGCCTCCGGCTTTCTTCTCTTCTTCGTCCTCCATCTATCGTTTTTTCTTAACTAATATTATTTACTTATAATTAAAACTAGCTAGAACAAGTTATATGATGACTTGCCTGTGGGCGGCTGTGGCAGACGGAGTCATGATCGTCGATGGTGTTATCTTGCGAGCCCATGGATGTTGAGGTGAAACCTACGTCGTAAGTGTCCATGGTCAGCCTCTGACTCCCGCCCCCGCTCCACTCCGGCGCCACTCTGGCCCGTTTTCCACCGGCCATGGTACGACCATCGCTACATGACCCCACCCGGGTGGAGCCAACGCCACCGGGCTTGCTCTGCTGCTCCTGTACTAGTTTGGAGCAAGGGACAAGCGCGTCCATGGCCATGGCGGCCCTAGAAGAGCGATGGTGGAACCACGGGACGAGCTCATCGGTGGGCTTATGGTTAGGGAGGCGAGTAGCTTGGTCCACTATCGACTCCAACGTTCCACCCGCGCCTGTGGAGTACTTTGTCGACGAAGCCGTCACTCGCGGTGGACCTAAGCCGTGCAAGCCCAGTTGCCCGTTCTCCCACGTCAGCTCGGCTACCTCGTAGTCTAATCTGCAGACAAACAAGAAAAGCTATCTCTTATGATATTGTGGCCACTTATAATATCGAGATGATAAATTAAGGTACATACATGGGGATGTCTGCTGCTGTGATGGAGCGGACGGTGGTGGTGGCTGCTGCGGCTGCCGTAGTATCATCGATGTGACAGTTTGGAACACATTGGCTCATCCTAAATCTGTGTATCGCAGCAGTTTAAAAGGTTTAGTGTTATTGACATCTTCTTCTCTTTCCTATATGTATATAAAGAACTTTTATGTGAACTTTTGTAGTAATCACGTAATTGACAAGTGGGGACATGATACTTGAATAGTTAACCATATATATTAAATTATTCAGGTCCCTTCTTTAATGGCCTGCTTAAGACTTGTTGAATGTTTTGTTGACAACTTAAATGTGAGAATCAATTCTGTATATGACTCACATATATAGTTTGTTGTCATAGTTAGTAGGATTCGCTAAAATATAATACTAGTGTGTCACACTATGTTACATATGTTCTTTTGCTAGAAAAAAAAAAATTCCAAAGAGCGAGTGAATATTTTTAAGCCAAAGAAAACGACATTTGAATTTTGCAAGTATGAAATTACTTTTTGGATGCATGAAGTAAGATCTCGTTGAAGAATCAATTACGTAGTATATAACTTACTGTATTGATGCATTTCTATGATTTACCATTGAAGACCAAAACTAATGCAACAATTCCATGTATCATGTATGAGTGTTGGCATCGGTTCCTGAATAGTTAACGTGGCGATATTTTATTTGTTTAGAAAATGTCCGGTTCATAGAGATTTAGAGGCTCCTCATGAGAAAGCCTTCGAAAGTGATTCCCGGTCCGAAAGCTAAGCCCAGACCCCACTCTTCTCCCTCTGTGCCTTTCTTCTCAAGCTCATCTCTTACTTTGTCCATTATGTAGAAGATGGTGTTGCTGCTTACGTTCCCATAATCCATCAACGCCCTTCTGCTGCATTCCAGCTTTTCCGGCTTCAGCTTCAGCTTTGTCTCCAACCCGCTCAGGATGGCTGGTCCACCCGGATGAACTGCCCAGAAAAGGTCATTCAACTCCAACGAACCAGAGCCAGCCTTTGCCACCAGCTTCTTGCAGAACTCCTCCACGTTGTCTTCGATCTTCTGAGGGAGGTCTCTTCCTAGCTTGAAGCTTATTCCCTCTTCTGACAGCCTCCCGTCGATCACCCCCTGTGTTTGGGGAAGGAACTGCTGCAGAGCACAGTGAAGCTCCATGAAGGGAGATTCAGACTCTCTAGGGTCAGCTCCGATGATCAGGGCAGCTGCTCCGTCTCCAAAGAGAGCAGCCCCAACTAAGTCGTAAGGGCGAGCTTTGTTGGGCGGGCGGAACCCCAGAACCGTAGTCTCGGAGGTGGTGAGCAGCACCCGGCTCCCTGGGTTGTTCTCAGCAATGTCTTTGGCCACGCGCAGCCCGCTCAAACCTCCATAGCATCCCAGAAAATACAGCATCACTCTCTGAACCTCGTTTCTAAGGCCCAGCTGTGTCGAGAGGTAGAGGTCACCTCCGGGCAAACGAAACTCACTGGAGGAAACATAGACAAGATGAGTGATGTCTTCCACTGTCCTTCCCCATTCCTTGATGCAAACCAAGCTCGCTTCATATGCCATCTGCACAACCGCCTCGTTTGCAATCTCAAGCCTCTGTTTGATGGTTGGGGAACCCTCGGTTGCTAGTTCGGGGTATTTTTGCAGCGTCTCCCGAGACATGACTGTGTAGCGTGTCTTGACAGTTGTGCTTTTACCTAACATCACCAAGACACACAAACAAGCTTATCTTTCACAAGTGCTCAAAAAAAAAAAGTTGTCAAAGAAAGTAGAGGGAAGTTACACAAGTGTTGCAGCTTGTCTTTGATAGAAAGGTCATCGCATTTGATTTCACGGAGATAATCCTCCACGAGATTCTCCTGGGAAACAACATTGCTGGGGAAGGCCTTACCGAGAGCAAGCAGTGTTGCCTTCCCCTGATACGCAACACGCTTGGTGCTTTTGCCAAATTCTTTTTGTTTCTCTACCCTTGCGGACGCCAACATCTTTTTAAGGTCACAGTGAAGGAAGATACAAAGGATTTTAGTGGTTGGCCTTTTAACTCATGGATTGTGAAGACAACAGAAAAAAGAAAAAAAGGCATAGAAAATGTGGGTGGTGTGTTTGTAACAAACACAGACAAAAACCCTAAATAAACTCAAGGATCACACTTTGAATGATCCTTATATTCCTCTTCCTCCTCCCTATATTCCTGCATCATCTATTTGAGGCACAATGGTAAAGGGGTTGAGAGAAGGAAATGGTGTATTATACAAGAAGCATCACAAATTACAAATCATTCAGTCCAGTTATAAGGAGCACGATCAACAATTAAGTAGTCTCCTCTGATGTCCTTGGCCACTCTGATCTCAGCGTCCATATACACATTCTCAAACCTGTGGAACCAAAACCCAAACTCTCTCTTTATCTATAGAAGAAGAAGTAGCTCCGAAGAGGTAACAGAGAGAAGTCACACTCACCAGCCCTTCCCAAATGGTGGCAGTGGGATCTCCCAGTTCTTCGCTCTCAACACCGCACTATTGAATCTGAATATCAAAACGCTATCAACTAAGCAAAGATGCTACACATTTCAAAATAAAGAGAAGAAGAACCTGAAATTGACTCTCTGCGGGGAAGCGATCTCGATATCAGAGCGTACGAAGAAAACTCCGTCCGGCGGGAAAGTGATGACGTTATTGAGGATCCGTTTATTCACATCGATCACCTGCAAAACGTCTCCGGCGGTCGTCCCAAACAAGCCCGCCTTTTCTATGATGAATAGCTGTTCCTTCTCCGTCGTCCACAGGAGCCGCCAAGTGGAAGATAGAGATTCTCCCGTGGTGATGGAGCTGCGTCCGATAACCGCCATGGATTCGATGGCATCCACGATTGCATCTCGCTTCGTGGCGTCTTTCTGGGTTCTCACACCTCGATCCTCCTCGGAGATCAGCTCAAGCAGCTTCCGCTTGGCTCGCTGTGCTGGATTCGCGAAGATCGAGCAGCTTGTTCGAAAACCGCCACGACGACTGCTGCGGAGTGGAGGAGGAGGACATGCCGACGAGAGCGCGAGCGCCATGTTTGCAAATTGCAATTTCCATGGTTGAGGTTGCAAGAAAGAAGAAGAGATACACTCACTATTTGGGTTTATTAAAAAAAAAAGCCCATTTGGATTTTATTTGCTTTATCTCATGAGCCCACCAAGCCCAAGTCAAGAGCGTGCACGTGCGGTGCTTTGTTTGTCACGTGTCTACGATAAAACCCCAGAAGCGGCGAGCGGCTTTGCCTTGCTCATCAACCTCGCTCGCTCGCTCGTCGTCGTCGTCGTCTCCACTTCAATTCTTTTCAATCAGAGATGATGATGATGAACCTTCGAAGGAGATCAGCGGTGGCCATCGGCCACCAATCAAAGTCGAAACTGGCTTCGTTTTCTTCCGCTTCACTACCTTGTTCTGGAATCCCAAAATCGGTAAGGATTTCGTTATTCCATCTCCTTTTCCCAGTCTGCCGGCATTTCTATACAATAATGGCTAAAAGCTATTGGTTCTTCTACATAGACATGGATTGTTTAGGATCTTAATCTACATAGCTCGACTTCAATATCTGCTCTTTGGTCTGAGGTTGTTTTTTCAATGTCTCGGGTGAATGCTTCTCTACTCCTGTTTGAATTGACCTTGATCTGGGGAAAAATTACACTATTACTTTTGTCCAAGTTCTTTTAACAACATTCCCTGCCTGTTTGGTCGAGATTGTTTCTATTTCTCTTTCAAAGGTATTCTTCCCTTTTACTTGTTTAATATTTTGTTCTCTCCCTTCCGATGCAGTTGATAAGCGTTTTACCAAGAGGAGGAGCATCAAGGCAGGCCATTACTGATTCTGGTCTTATGACTCTGGTGAAGACAACATTTTCTTTGCTCTTTACACCCTTTTGTTATTAGATGTTACTTTCATAACTCTCATCGTTTTTCTTTTGCAGGACTCTACTGGAGCTAATGGTCAGCAATCATTATGTGTAATCAAACTTCAAATCCTACTCTTGTGTACTTGTTGTTCTGACAATTATCTGTTTGCAGGACTATTGTTTCGCTTCCGAAATCCGCAAGCAAGTATATGTACGGAAGCTCGTCCAAAGAACATCAACTCATCTTACTTTACGAGATCTTTTGCATCAAGAACTTCTAAAGAACCTGGGAATCAGCAGAATAAGGTTTTCATAAGAATATGCTTTTGACCTCCAACTTTTTTGTGTTTGTTCTTACAAGTTTCTACTTAATGTCTACGTTGTGTGTTTGCCATCTATCACAACGCAAGGTGTCAAAAGCGACAGACAACTTATGTCATCTAATCCCCGATATGAATAGCGTCTTAACATTAATGCCTGCTTTGCCAATTCTTCGAAACAGGCTAAGAAAGAGGTCACAACGGTGGAGGATCCTTTTGATTCTCCTACGTACCACATCCCGGACAAGCCGGTGACCTTTACAGAAGGTGCTTCCTACAGTCTTGTTATTCTGGCTGGGCTTGGGGTCGCTGGAGCTGCTGGGTACGGTGTGTTTAAAGAGCTCATATTTCAACCAAAAGAGTGAGGCTTCAGAACTCTAGTTTCATTTATATGCTCGGACACTTGGATGTGGTTAGAGTAATCTAACGACACCATTCTGTATCCTAGGTACAAGGTCTTTGACAAAGCCTTGAAGAGAATTCAAGATGATGGTCAGGTAATAAGAAAATAACTCTATAGATTGATCATAACGGAGGGTTGGTGTATTAAATAAAAGCATCTGCTTATAAAATGCAACAATGCTGAGATTGTCTTGTTAACTAGGTGAGGGTTAGGATTGGATCCCCCATCAAAGGCTATGGACAAGAAACCAGAAACCGCGCTGCTCGTCAACGTATACCCAATAGAGTATTTACAGATGAAGACGGAGTGGAGCATGTTGAGGTAATTCATTGTAGAACCTCTTCTGCCCTTGGATTCACATTCTTGTTAATATAAATTGTCGAGGAAGCAGAATAGAGTATTGCAGGTTTAACATGATCAAAATTGAATATGCTTCAGGTAAACTTCTACATCCGTGGGCCTCAAGGAGCAGGGAAAGTGTACACGGAGATGTTTAAAGACAAGGCAGAGAAGGAATGGAAATACACGTACCTGATCGTAGAGATTTTAACACCTTCCCCAGCCAAATTGATGTTGGAGTCTTACTTGCCTGCCTAAACACTCGTATTATATGATTCAGCTGATCCGGAAAACATTCAGAAACGGCTTAGATTGTTTTAGTTGGGGTGTTGGAGAAAAGAGAGAGAATTGTGTTACACATGAGTTGTAGGAATGACTTGTTATCAAGCAACTGTTTGGTAATTGAAAAACAAGTCTAAACTGATAAATGCTCAATGTTTATGATCCTCTTGGGGATGTCTAGGATTTTGAATCAAATTCAAGTTTGAGGCTTGATAATATTCTTATGCGAAAACATGAAACTGAGACATGGTTTCTCAAGGAGAATGCATATATCATGAAGCATCAAGTATACATTAGTGGCAATCATGGATCAAACGGTGTTTATAGTATCAGTAAGACAGCGGAGAATGCAACCGAGACCAGCTCTCTCTGTGAGTTTCTCGTGAATCTTCAAGCACTGATCGCAGGTGGGTCGGTCCCCAGTAGAAAGGCCTCTATACAAGTACCTGTTCCACACCATTCAAGCAAACAAAATCTAACTTTTAGAGAGATTCTAGCAACAAAATCGAACTTTTACTCAAAGACCTATATCTATCTCCAATGCAATCCAGACAAAAGAAAAGAGACTTTTCTAGAAGGACTTACTTCATGAGAATGTCGTAATATTCGGCATCAAGAGCATTGAGCATTCCGTCAATATCCTTTATGGCCATTATAGCTCTGTGCACAACTATCCAATTAGCCGACTGCAATTGAACCCACATGAATGATCCATCTTTTTTTTTTTTTTTGGCTCAGGAAACAAAATAAGAGGCGATTAAATTGAGGCAGAGGAAACAGAGACCTTGCAACGTTCATCGCGAGTTTTCGGAGGCGAACCTTCAAGAGCCGTTTTCAAAGCTTCGACATGTTTGTACCTGCACAAATTAAAACACTAATCTGGGATTAAAACCAAGAAAAAAAAGAAAAACTCTAGGGTTAGCTCCAAGGTATACTTAATATTACTGTTTGAGTAAGCTTTCAATCTTCCGCGATTTGGTTTCGATCCTCGCGATTATTGCTTCTGCATTATCAGCCTCAACAAATTCTGCCATTCGATCTCTCTCTCTTTGATCAGAGATTGAAAGAAAGAGGATGGGGAAAAATAGAGAGAGAGAGAGGAAAACTCAATCGCCGTTTCATCATTTAAAAAGGGGACTGAGTGACGTTTGTGTTGGCCTTAAACGGCACGTAGTTTTATCGTTCTAATGGAATGCTGCCACTGAATGATGATGGATGATGAAAACTTCATTTTTTTTCTGGGTATAACAATTTCAGGATTTTGTTAAGAAAAAAAAAAAAAACTTACAGTGCATAAAATAAAGATGAGAAAACTGTGCCTAAAACAGAGCCTCGTTTCCGAAATAGTAAAGAAGTCTTACACAGAGAGTGAGTTAGGAAACTCTCAACCAAAGTGACGATGCATCTACAAACCGGTGATTGTGTCTCGCTGACCAAGCAAGTTATTACGGATTCCTCTATCAAGTTGCTTGAACAAGACGTTGGCACTTGAGGCTTGGTTTTGAAGCAGACATGCGTTACATTCTCTCCATATCGAATAAATCATCGATGGAGAGGTGCAAAGTGGAAGATTCAGCCGTCGCCCAAGAGTCTAGAGTGATATTGTGAGCATTCAAGCTTGCGCAAACAGAGTCTCTACACTTCAGAACTGAAGCCACACCGCAAGAACAGGAGCTCACTGGCTTCAGCCATGGATCTATTAGGAGATAAGATACGATCAATCTGTTTGTTTATTATACTTAGGATATTCCCTTGTATCTAGGAGTATCGAGGAGATCTCGAAACAGTTTGTAACTGTAATGTCTTTATATTCAAGTGAATACACAACGATCTCCTCAAGGGAGACTTTCACAATCTTTCAATATTAGGAGATAAGATACGATCAATCTGTTTGTTTATTATACTTAGGATATTCCCTTGTATCTAGGAGTATCGAGGAGATCTCGAAACAGTTTGTAACTGTAATGTCTTTATATTCAAGTGAATACACAACGATCTCCTCAAGGGAGACTTTCACAATCTTTCATGGTATCAGAGCGCAGCTCAATCTAAAACGCTTCTCTAAATTATCTCTTTTTCTTCCTCTTCTTCTTCCTTCTCTTCTCTTCTCTTCCAACCTTCAATCTCTCTTCAATGGCCGCCGCAGCCAACAATTCCGACAAAATTTACGGAGTCAATAACATCAAGACTCACATCCCTGTGATTCTTGATCTTGAAGAGAGTAACTACGATGCGTGGAGAGAGCTTTTTCTCACCCACTGTCTCAGCTTCGATGTCCTTGGCCACATCGATGGCACTCTGCTCCCAGCTAACGCCGACGATGTCGCATGGAAGAAACGTGATGGGATTGTGAAGATCTGGCTCTATGGAACTCTCACACCTAAACAGTTTCAGGGTTCCTTCGTCTCTGGTTCAACCTCTCGTGAGATCTGGCTGCGGATCGAAAATCAATTCAGGAATAACAAGGATGCTCGGGCCTTGCGTCTTGACAACGAATTGAGAACCAAGGAGATTGGTGACATGAAGGTAGCTGACTACTGTCGTGAAATGAAGAAACTTGCTGACTCCCTCAGTAATGTCGACGCTCCGGTGCAAGATCGTACGCTTGTGATGTATGTGTTAAATGGCTTGAACGCCAAATTTGACAACATCATCAACGTGATTAAGCATCGCCAGCCCTTTCCCAGTTTTGATGATGCAACAGCAATGTTGCAGGACGAGGAAGAACGTCTAAAGAAGGCGATCAAACCGAACCCTACACATGTTGATCACTCCTCATCGTCAACTGTCCTGGCTGTTTCTAAAGCTCCACCCGTCAACAACTTCCAACGATCAGGAAATCAACAGTTTCAGAACAGAGGCCGTGGCAAGGGAAACAACAAGTTTCGTGGAAGAGGCCGGTCGTCATACAACTCACCACGTCCATCTTACCAGTCCACTCCATTCAACGCTTGGAACAGTCCATTCTACCCGCCACCATACCCGATGTGGCAGCAGCCGTGGGGGTTTCCGCCTCAACTAACAGCTGCAGGAGGCAGTGGTTATGGGGTTCTTGGACCACGACCTGCATACAACACACCACACAACAACACTCAAAATGTTGGAGGGAACAAGTATGAAAGCACAGCAGATTTTGCCCAGGCATTCAACACGCTGACACTGCAAGATCCCACCGATTCCCAGTGGTACATGGACTCCGGAGCTACCGCTCACTTAACGTCAGGCTCAGGTAATGATCTCCAAACTAATTTTAATCCTAGCATCAGAAAGTCTGTCATTGTGGGCAATGGTGGTTGCATACCTGTTGCTGCTACCGGATCCTTAACACTTGTTAATAAACCTCGTCCCTTATCGCTTCGAAATGTTCTTGTCACTCCCGATATCATCAAAAATCTTGTTTCAGTCCGTCGTTTCACTAAAGATAACACCTGTTCTATAGAGTTTGACCCATTTGGTTTTTCTATTAAGGACCTCCACACCAAGGAGACACTTCTCCGCAGTGATAGCACGGGCGACCTCTATCCAGTTTTTTCTACATTCAATAAGAGCCAAGCTCAAGCTTCGGCGTTTCTCGCTCAATCGTCTGAAATTTGGCATCAAAGATTAGCTCACCCTAGCAATGATGCCTTAAGGACGTTAATTTCCTCTTCTTATTTTCAGTCAAATAAAAAGACTCTCCCTTTGTCTTGTAATGCTTGTCAGCTTGGAAAACATGTTAAGCTTCCTTTTTATTCTTCCACATCTTCTGTTTCTTCACCATTTGAAATAATACATTCGGATTTGTGGACCTCATCTATTCCTAGCATATCGGGAATTCGTTATTATGTTCTTTTCTTGGATCAATTCTCTCATTTCTTGTGGGTTTATCCTCTTCGTAACAAGAGTGATGTCTTCTCTAAATTTTCTCAATTTCATAGCTATGTGAAAAATCATTTTAAGACCAATATTCGGTCTCTCCAATGTGACAATGGAGGTGAGTACAACAACTCTCAGTTTCATGATTTTTTCGCCAAAAATGGTATCACCTTCTGCTTCTCGTGTCCATACACCTCGCAACAGAATGGAAGATCCGAACGCATGATTCGAACTATCAATAACGCTGTTCGAACCTTGTTAATTCAAGCTAATCTTCCCACTTCTTTTTGGGTGGAGGCCTTAAACAATGCTGTTCATATTCTAAATCTCCTTCCATCTTCTTCGATAGACAACAAAATTCCCTTCTCTGTCTTGTTTCAAAAATCACCTTCTTACACTCATCTCCGAGTTTTTGGATCTCTTTGTTACCCTCATACAAACAATCAAAACAAACTCGAGCCACGGTCTACACCATCAGTTTTCCTCGGCTATCCTCTTCTTCATTCAGGTTACAGATGCTTTGACCTTAAGACAAGAAAAATTGTGATCTCTCGTCATGTCACGTTCAATGAGAAAGTCTTTCCGTTCAAGGCCTCAAACACTCAATCAAGTTCTGTTTATAACTTTCTCCAAAACGAAACAGAACCTTCTTTAATACAAAAACAAATCCTTCTCTCACCATCGTCTCTTTCTCCTTCTTCTTCCTCCGAGCAACCTGCTCCTCCTCTAATAGAGCAACAAACGTCTCAGCCACCTGCTGCAATTGAGCCGACACCACATCACATGGTTACTAGGTCAAAGCAAGGTATTAGAAAACCAAAACAAATTCTTTCCTTATCGGTCGAATCTGTTTCTTCAATTCCTAAAGGTTATCGACAAGCTCTTTTGGATCCAAATTGGAATCCTTCAATGACGGATGAATATGATGCTTTGATTAAAACTAACACTTGGAGTTTAGTGCCTAAACCTGCAGGTACAAATATCATAAACTCAATCTGGCTCTACAAACACAAGTACAACGCTGACGGGTCTTTAGCTAGATACAAATCAAGGCTGGTAGCCAATGGTAAATCACAAGAACAGGGTATCGATTTCGACGAAACATTTAGCCCCGTCGTGAAGCCTGCTACCATACGTGCGGTCCTCAATTTTGCTGTTGAAAGGGATTGGCCGGTTCACCAGTTAGATGTTCAAAACGCCTTTCTACACGGGACTCTTACCGAAACAGTTTACATGTATCAACCTCCCGGGTTTGTTAGCAAAGAACACCCAGATTTTGTTTGCAAATTAAACAAAGCGTTGTACGGTTTGAAGCAGGCTCCACGGGCTTGGAATGCAAGGTTTGCTGCCTATGTTAAGACGATGGGGTTTATTCAAAGCAAGAGTGATACTTCGCTATTCGTGTATAGGAAAGGATCGGATATGGCATATTTATTGTTGTACGTCGATGATATAATGGTCACGGCTTCTTCTTCACAGCTGTTGCAGTCCATCATCTCGACATTGAAACAAGAATTCCCAATGTCTGACTCGGGAAAGCTAAGTTTTTTCTTAGGCATCTCAGCTACCTTTGATAAAGATGGTGTGTTCTTATGTCAAGAAAATTATGCAGCAGAGATTTTACTTCGGGCTGGAATGCAGAATTGTAAACCATGTCTCACTCCCGTCGATCTCAAGTCTAAGCTAGAAGAAGAAGCTGGTCCGAAAGTGAGCGATCCAACGCTTTACCGAAGTTTGGCGGGTGCGCTACAATACTTAACATTTACGAGGCCAGATATCTCTTATGCTGTCCAACAGGTTTGTTTGTTCATGCACGATCCAAGAGAAAGTCATTTTCATGCCCTGCGACGCATTCTACGGTACATCCAGGGAACAAAGAAGCAAGGATTGCATATTACTAAGTCACCCTCAACCAAACTAGTAGCTTATTCCGACGCCGATTGGGCAGGCTGCCCGAACACTCGCCGATCAACCTCAGGGTACTGTGTTTTTCTTGGTGATACACTGATCTCCTGGTCTTCAAAACGTCAAGGTTCGGTGTCACGTTCAAGCGCAGAAGCTGAGTATAAAGCAGTTGCCAATGCCGTAGCAGAAACTTGTTGGCTACGGAACCTATTACTCGAACTGCATTGTCCGTTATCTCAAGCAACTTTGGTCTTCTGTGACAACATCAGTGCCGTGTACCTTTCAACAAATCCCGTGAAGCATCAACGCACAAAACATGTCGAGATAGACATACACTTCGTCCGTGAGAAAGTGGCAAAAGGTGAAGTTCGCGTGTTTCACATTCCGGCAACACACCAGTACGCTGACATTTTCACTAAAGGCCTTACTTCTTCATTATTTAATCAGTTCAAGTCCAGTCTTGGCGTCGTCACAAGACCGCCGCTTCAACTGCGGGAGGGTATTAGGAGATAAGATACGATCAATCTGTTTGTTTATTATACTTAGGATATTCCCTTGTATCTAGGAGTATCGAGGAGATCTCGAAACAGTTTGTAACTGTAATGTCTTTATATTCAAGTGAATACACAACGATCTCCTCAAGGGAGACTTTCACAATCTTTCAGGATCCACATAGACAACAGTCCGGAGAGACATTCATACCCCAAGAAGCAAGACTAGACCTCTCCCCAGTTACTTACTAGGTAGCGAATAAGTGAAGGAATTGAGTCCACAGATCATGCAAGGAGCAGTTACTTCCATCGGCTAGGCTGTAACGCATAAATCTGATTGTATCAACGTGTAACCAGACTAGCTGCTTCCATGTTACCGAGCCTCTGCAGCAGTGGGATATAAAGACCAGAATGTTTTGCTAGAGGGACATTGGTCTGATTCTCTCTGGTTTGCAATTGGAATTAGAAAAGGATAGAAAGCACAAAAGCCATTCTTAAGGCTTAACTGAAATGCAGGAGCATACTTTTATTGAAATTTTATTTACAATAATAATATCTGCGTTCCTCATCCCATCCAATCCTTACACTTGACCTGAATATGTATGTCTCTCACGCAACGCAGTGCTATTGACTCAACAAATGGCTTGCATCTTTTAAGCAACACAACTATAATGTAGCATTACTACGAGTCGCTTTCAGTTTCAGGTGCCCTCTGATATACCAGCGTGCTTGTATCTGCGTGGTACTGCCCATACAAAGCATAAACGGCAGTTGCAAGCACACTGACTACAACAAATCTTATCCATGCTTCATAATGCAACTGCAAAGTAGCGGAAAGATCAAAGTTAGATCATATGGTATGTGGAATTAGTATAAAGTTAGTTCTTAGCGTGTACCTGAGCAAATAAGAACATGTTGAAGAAAATGCAAACGCATGGCACAATGGGTACACCAGGACAGCTAAACCCAGAACCTAGAGACTGAGCATAAGCCTGGAAGCGAAAAGCTGAGGGGGTTAACGTGAAGCATAGCTAGCAAGGCATTTGCCTGATTTGTGGAGAAAACCATGAGGGTATTTCAACTACATCGTCGTGTAATTTCTGATTGATGTTAACAAACTTCCCCTCTAAACCAAGAATGCAAAGTTACTTCAATAGTCACAGACTTTCGAAGTATCACTGTAGAGTTCTAATTGCCAAAACATGCTACTGGTGGTCTCTATTTTATGCTGTATCAGTAAAAGACTTAGTAGCAAGCATTTTAACACGAGTGAAACTCCGGCATATTGTTTTTTTTTGGCGCTATGAAATTAAGAAGAGTGTTGGCTTATGCTTAAGGCTACTTACTTGGCGATAATGAAGAACTGCTGAAGCAACAACTACCACACCAACTGAGAGGAGAATAAATATAACTGAAGCACTGAAACGGTAAAATATGCCAGCACCAAAACCACTGCATGCAATTATAACAAGGCAAATGACGCCTTCCTGCCAACTTGATGTCCATCTATTGGCGGACTCTCTTTCTTTTTTATCATTCAGTCTCAATGCCACAACACAAGCCGCAACAACTGAATACCCAGTCTGAAACAACGGAACACCGAAAATAATGTGAAACTGGAAAGTATAAGTATCAATAAGAAAAGCAAAGGGATATTTAAAATTAAGACCTTGACGTACCAATGTACCAACAGACAGAATATGGGAAAGACTATGTACATTAAATATGCCAGCTAAAACCGCAGCTACAATGCCGCACCAGATTTGAGAATGAAGAGGTGTATGGAGAGTTGGGTGTATTCTGGAAAAGATTGAAGGCAAAAGACCATCCCTTCCAAGTCCCAGATATAACCTGGACTGTTTATCCGATATATCATATTATTACTCAAGAGTGTTATCTTGGTTTGCATGAGAAACAAGTACATAATAAAGGATTATAACATATAGATATTTTCACCTGAACATAAAGACCAACAAGCAGAGTAGTTGTGAGTCCAGCAACAGCACCGATACTGATTAAGACTGAGACGAACTTCATACCCTTTGATGAAAAGGCTTCAGCTAAAGGAGCATCTTCGCTGAGGAGGCTAAAAGGGACCATCCCGGTGAGCACTAAACATACGCCAATATAGAGCAAGATACAAACCAGAAGGCTTCCCATAATTCCGATTGGCAGATCACGCTGAACAAGAATTAAACAGATATAAGACACTGTGTAGATAGTAGATACTTTCAACAAATATATGGGCAGACCTGAGGGTTCTTTGATTCTTCAGCAGAATTAGCAACCGCATCAAATCCAACATATGAAAAAAAGACTACAGTAGCTCCAGTCAGAACTGCTTTAAAACCATTCGGCGCAAAAGGAGACCAATTTGCTACATCAATTTCAAAAGCACCCGCACAAATCACAACGAGAACAATCACGACCTACAGAAGAACCAATATTGTCAAGAAGAGTTTCTTAGGTATACATAATAAGAAAGTTAAAGGAAAGAAGTGCACCTTAGTAGCAGTCATAACGGAGTTGACAGCGGAAGATTCTCGCACACCTTGGCATAGAACAAGGGTCAAGAGAGCAAGTAAAATGGGAGCCAAGATATTTAAAGAGAGAAGCCCTCCTAACAGCTCTTCGCCGCTTCCCATCCAGAGAGGAATAGAGCCCTTGAGGGCTGGAAAAAGCTCAAGAAGAGCAACAGCATAGCTTGCCAAGCTACGGGAGATACTAGCGGCGCCAATATGATAATCAAGCATGAGTTGAACGAAAACAAGAAAAGCTGTGATCTCATTGAAAGCTGAATACGAGTACATGTAAGCTCCACCAACAACAGCAGGGAAACGAGATGCAAGTTCAGCATAACAGAGAGCGTTCAACACACACGATGCTCCAGCTAGCAAGAAGCTGATCGTGACTCCTACGCATGTAGGCAACAATAATAATCAATCAATCAATCCCAAGTTGTAACCAATTGTGAACGAATCAAGGGGGATGGTGATGATCCAACTGACCAGGTCCAGCATCACGAGCGACGGTTCCGGTAACGACGAAGACACCGGCGCCGATGGAAGCGCCGACGCCCAACAGTATGAGGTCGAAAAGGCCGAGGCGACGAACCAGAGAGTCGCCGGAGGTGGAGCGAACGGCAGTCTGCGAGGACGGAGGGGGCAGAGATTTAGATCGGAGAGCTGAAGCACGGAAATGAGAGAACCATGTGGCGGAGGAGAGGCGTTGGTAGCTGAAACCTTCGTGGCCTCCCATGGAAACTGGAATTAGAGAGTTGAAGATTGGGTGGGTGATTTGATCGAGATTCGAGACGATGAATGCAATCACCCGGATCCTCTATCCAAAACCCGGGATAATCAGAATCCAGTTAAATAAGTATTGGGCCAATCATTGGGCCCAACCAAGACCAGTTTTAGCCCAATAATCCTCTAAACAGCGCTCTCAAACACAGGTATGAAATTACACGAACGCGATTAGAAGAATTAAAGATAAATTAATTGGAACATGAGAAAGGCCATGCCACAAATATTTTTTCTTAAAAGAAAACAAGTCAGGCTGAATGTTGTCAGCTTTCTTTGAAGGGATAAACTATTTTATTAAGCTAAGGGCGTCCACAGTGGTAGAGACTCATCAAATATATTATTATACTATATTTAATATAACTTAATTATTATTAAAAATTTAAAATTATAAAAAAACAAATAAAACTAATGAAATCTTGACAAGTGTGAAATGAGTCTCTGGAAAGTTTCTCACAGATTCTCAAATGAGAACCAATTCTCATTTCTCTCCTCTTTTTTATTACTTTTCATTTTAATATTAGTGAGAACCTCCTAGATGTTCTTATTTATCGCTGCATCTTTGGACATGTTCTTAGATTAAAAAATGAATAGAATTTGGGTTTTGAAGGCTAAGATCAGGCGAAGTGGTCTTGGGCTGGATCAGTTCTTGGCCCGCTCTCGCTGTGACGTGGCATGCGCGGATTGGGTAAGAATTTTGATATCGAAAATATTTTTTTCATTTGGGGCAAAATCGTTTCAACTCTAGGGTTTTGTTTCTCTCCAGCCTCTCTCGCGGCGATTGTTGCCGTCGTCGATACTTGGCCGATTTCGCACCGATTTCCGGTAAAATCGGAGCCTAATCGATCTTTGCTTCGTTCTCTGCTATCCCTTTTCGTTATTCCTTTTATTTTCCTCTTCTTTTTGCCGATACACCATCTCTAGGGCGACAAAGATCTCCGACGATCTCGAGGCCACATCCGACTTCTCCGATTGATTTCGCCTCACCCATCTGGTGTTTCATCGTTTCCTCTTTCTCCCAAAGCCGTAGGTACGTGTTCTCCGAAAGTCTGAGATTTATCGTTTCATCGTTTCATCCGAAAGTCTGAGATTTAGAGGATTTTGTTTTAGAAGTCGATGTAGGTTTAGGTTTGGGTTTAGTATATGGGTTTTGTTGCTTGTTGTTCTCATTAGAAGAAAATTAGGTTTACAAATAACAATGACATTCGAGTTAAACTGTGATACGGAAGTTTTTTTTATGCGTATCGTGTCTTTTTTGCTTGATTAAACTGACCACAAGTGTTTGTTTTGGTTGTGAGACATGTAGGTGAGGTAGCTCTGAAGTTTAAATCGGAGTAGCAACACCAACAACCATTTCCTGCCATCTATAAGGTAATTCCCTACTCAATATAGTTGTGATTAGCTGCTGAAGTATCTAGTTTAGAGTTCTTGTTCTTGTTTTCTTATGATTGAGTAAACTGGAATATGTATGTTGTATGTCTCTTGTTTTCAGATAGTTGAGTAGTGCTTTGTTAATAAGTGGTGAAACCTATTCCGCTTTGAAGTTAACGAAAGTGTGTGTTACTTGGGAGGATAACATTCAAATTTACTGAACTTTTCCTTTACTTGTTTTACTGGTTATTTGATGATTGAAATGGTGGCTGGTTACTTTGGATGTGATGAATGAGCTTTCTTGGTTGTAAACAGACTAGTAATGTCTGTTTAACTTTCTAGTTGTGGAAAGTTATAATAAATACTGATCTGACCTTGGTAGTTCAAGGTTAGCTCTCATTATGAGTTTGCTACTTTAAAGCTTTTTTGGTTTGAAAGTGTCTTTATACCTGATTTGATTGTGGTAGGTAATGATACTTTAAGACTAATAACTAGTTTAACTTACCTCTATTAAACCTGAGGTATGTTAAATTCATTCTCTCATATTCTCTTTTCTTCTATCATATCTCCTCTTTGAATATCTCCTTTTACCTAAGCTTTTACTTCTCTTCCTTCTATTAAGCTGTCGGATATGGATTCAAATAACCATCCAAATAACCAGTGTCAATCTCAACCATACTATAGTCTCCAAAACTTCCCTTACGGCAAATTTTCTTCCAATGCAAACATTTCCTTCTCTCAAATCCCTTCTTTTAGTTCACAACCGAGCTCACCACCAGTTCAAGCTGCAAGTCAACCAGAAAAGACACCAAGGGAGAGAAGGATTTGGACCAGCAAGGATGATCTTGTTCTTATAAGCGGCTGGTTATACACATCAAAGGATGTGATAATTGGGAATGACCAAAGGTCAGGGGCCTTTTGGAAGCGCATAGGAGAGTATTATGCTTCTAGTACTCATGTACTAAATGGGGCTGAGCCAAGGCTCCCTGACCACTGTAGGCAAAGATGGCAAAAAATCCATAGGTATGTCGCTATGTTTTGTGGAGCTTATGCTGAAGCAGTGAGTGAGAAAGCCAGTGGCATGAATGACTTGGACATTCTCAAGAATGCTCACCAGACTCGATTGACGAATATGTACGTATTGGTGAAACGACGACACGTCAATGTTTGGAACATTTCGTCGTCGCAATAGTTGATTTGTTTGGCAATGAATACCTACGCCGACCCACACCAGAGGATCTTGAAAGACTACTCTTTTATGGAGAACACCCGGGTTTTCCCGGGATGGTTGGAAGCATCGACTGCATGCATTGGAAGTGGAAGAATTGTCCAACCGCTTGGAAAGGAATGTATTCACGAGGGACCGATAAACCAACAATTGTTTTGGAGGCGGTAGCTTCTCCTGATCTTTGGATATGGCACGCGTTTTTTGGAGCGCCAGGTACTTCTAACGATTTAAATGTTCTTGATCAATCACCAGTATTTAATGACATTATTTACGGTCGAGCACCCGAAATGAACTACTATGTCAACGGAAGGGAGTATAATTTGTCATACTATCTGACGGATGGTATTTATCCCGAATGGGCGACTTTTGTTAAATCCATCCCACAGCCTCAACACCCGAAACATTCTTTGTTTGCACAACGTCAAGAAGGTGCACGAAAAGATGTTGAGCGTGCTTTTGGAGTCCTACAAGCTAGATTCGCCATGATTAAAAATCCATGTCGGTTTTTGTCTAAAGGCAAAATAGCATATATTATGAGAGCATGTCTCATACTCCATAATATGATTGTCGAAAATGAACGCCATTCATACACTCTCAATGACGAAGAAGAATTCGAAAAAGACGATATTCATACGTTTTCAGTCGAGATGCCTACAAATCTCCAAGGTCTAGGTGATGGTCACACAAGAATTCGTGATAGACAAACACATCACCAATTAAGAGAAGATTTGATTGAGAATATATGGAATGAATTTGGACATCTTCCAAATAATTAATAAGTTTTTTTTAACTTTGTATTAATTAAATAAAATGTTTGTAACCTTTAATTAATATGTTTTTTTTTAATAATTATTTGGAATTATATTTTGTGTTTCTTTTTATTTTCAAATCAATGTTAATATAAGTTTACTTTTTAATGTTTCTATTTTAAAACTAAATTTTTAATTTTAATATACTTTAAAATGTTTTGATTATTAAATTATTAATTCATATGATCTAAACATGTTCTACCAATAATCAATTACTTTACAAAAGATCTTAATTAAAGCTCTTATAATATTTTAATATTTTTTCTCCCTTAAGATCAATCTTTAAAGATGCACCCTTGCATATGCCGTAAAAGCTCTTTCTTTCGTGGTGCGTGTAAACGAGTAAGAAAATTTTATCGGATCAAGAAGATTCCTTTGATCTGTATACTATATTAATAAAGAGAGAACAACATTGAGTAAAACGTGACTAATTCGGCCCTTCCCAGCAACTGCATCATAATCCATATTTTATATAATAATATTAAAAAAAACGAACATAAATATGTATCTTCTCCCTGTTAAAAAAGAAGATCCAAAATTAAAATCAGACCCACACTGAGAGTGTTGAGGAAGAAGAAAAATGGAAGGAGAGCTCAGACGGGATAACGGCTCGGCAGTTCTGGATTGGATTCGCCGGCAACTCCTGGAGGAGGACGATTTCGATCTTCTTACAGCCCAAGATTCATCATCGCCGCCACGTAGAAGCGCAAATTACAAAGGAGTGAGGAGAAGACCATGGGGGAAATATGCCGCCGAGATCAGAGATCCAAACAAGAACGGAGCCAGAATCTGGTTGGGGACCTACGAGACCCCCGAGGAGGCTGCCGTGGCATATGACCAGGCAGCTTTCAAGATGCGAGGCTCCAAGGCTAAGCTTAACTTTCCTCACCTTATCGGCATTGACCAGGCTGAGCCAGTGAGGGTCACTAACGGTAACAAACGCCAACGATCAATGGAGCCCAATTCTCAGGCAGCTAAACGGCGAAGCATAATTAACCTTACGGCTACAACACTTCCTTCCCTCGGATTAAAGCTGTCTGTATTACAAAAACACCTACAACGACTATGATTCATTTGTTTGATTTCATCTTTTTTTCATTGTCCATATTTTGCTCATTTACGACTCTACTATTTCAACACCAAATGGTAGAATCATCTGATAGACTTATAGTTTAGGCCATTCTTTCTCTTTTCTATTCTTCCAGCAATCCAGTCAATGAAACGTATACTAAGAGACATCAACTTCTTCGAATCAACAGCGTACTAAGAATCTTTCCTCACACAAAAGTCAATAAAAATGGATTCACACATGAAATGACAAAATGTCAGGTAGCAAATAGGGCTTTACATTGCTCCCGCAAATTTGTTTTATCATTATCACCACCTCACCCCTGAGTAAGTAGAGAGCTCAACAATCTCTCTCTCTACCTTGTTTCATGGCACCCGATGCCTCCTCCTGCAACACAACATATTCTGTTCCATGATTCTTATCTCAACCAAATCGTACTCTATATATGCCTCTAACTATTGGTGTACGTTATCATTTCACATCTATCTACTTTCACGATGATGCTCACCCATGGATTTTGGGTAATTAAGTTTCTAACTAATAAAGGATGAAATCTTATCTGAGAGCTTAAGGAGGCTAATTAGCAGATCAATACTGTGTTCTGGAGAATGCAACAGCGTCACTTACCTCTTGGGTCTGCTTCGGTCCTCTTCGTACTCCATCACTCCACTTGGTTCACCAAATATCTCTTCCTGCCCTCTGAATTCCACGTCGGCCTGTCCATAGTGTGCAACTTCTGCCACAATGTAAGTAAGACTACATAGACAAATATATCCCATTGTTCAAGTCATAACAGTCTCCATTTTCAATTATCATTACCTACTTTCACCAAATATTCACTACCGGCTGCTCTACTGGGAAAGACTACAGATTTCTGGTTCAATATCTATGATTATTTTGTTCAGTGAAAGCATGATTCTAGTTTTGTTAAGGGGTCGTTCATCTCAATCCAGAATATAATAACAACTATGTCCAACTGAGGACCAAGTACTGCAAACAAACCAACTCACTGCAAATGTCATTTGTTGATTCTGTATAGCATGACAATTTTCTGTGTTAAATTTTGGCAAAAATAGCAAAATCCAACATGTATCTATCAGACTATCACAGGTTGAGTGACAACTTAATCAATGATGAAAAGAAAAATCAGCCACAATCTACTCGTACCTTCATAGAAAGTGATTTTTTCACTTCCTCCACCCTCTCTTCTACTTCCTTTCGACTTCTATTGTCCACCTCACTCATTTTATCTTATCTTGAATCGAAACCTAAACATGAATTATGTGCACACATATAAAATGACTCCAAAATCAAGGCGAAAGAACTCTTTCATGAGAAGGGACTCTCACATAAAATCTCAACAGTAGGGGAGTGAGATATGACATATTTTTCAAAGATTCTAACGTCAAGTTTGAGATCTTCTAATAATACAGAACACAGCAATCCTAGGGTCCAAAGAAGAAGAGATAAATATAGATCGAAGGCGGTACCGATTATCCAGTGTGTGCATCATATTCCCAAGTTGTCCTGGCCTTATAGATCCCTACCAGCTCCAAACTGAACCTGCATGTTTGCAAGGGATATACTGGTTCAGGAACGAAAAGCACAGCGATCATATAATAGGAACATCAGAAAAGGCAAGTACCTGAAAACATCTTTTCAACTGATCAAGTTTTCCTCTTAACTATACCCTTCAAATATTCAAAAAATCATCACCGTACTTTTGTACATTTCTGCATTGTCACACTTCAGTTGTCTGTGCAGCTACATATATATTTTATCGAAATAAATACAGATATTACTCGAAAAGAAGATAGTAGGATAGATGTAAGAGCATCGCCTTTGGATACAGAAGCTCGTTTAACGAATACATCTATTGTTTCCGCCTGCTTAGAAGAAGAAGAGAGGAAGGGGCAAACACGTCTCTCTTTCTCTCTCTCTCGCGTTCACTACTATTTCTAATAAAATTCAATTCTACAGCCTTTTTTTTTTTGTTTTTTGGATCTTCTTTGGTATGTTTTCTATCTGTAACATGTGACATGAAGAACCGATAGAGGATAGTCTTAAAATTTATTTGAACTGTTTCATCACTAATTCTTCTCGACAACCATACTGTTGGTTTACCTATCAAACCTATAGATATCATATAAATTCATCAAAGAGGAGAATTAAGTTAGAGAGAGCGATTAGTAAGTAACTAACTAATTATCTACATGCAGGAACCAAGTTCAGAGTATACCACTAAGCAAAAGAATGACAAGAGTGTAGTAGAAACAAGGGTTCAAGAAACCAAAGGAGATAGGATATTACGGTCTTCAAACTAATATCATAATATAATTTCAAGACGAGCAGCAACCGTTCTTCTGGGGAACTGGCTGTCCTCTGATCTGCACCGTTGGCGGTCTTGCATTGTTCGCAGCTGGTTGACTTGCCATTCTGCACCCAAACCCAATTCTTGTATTAGACTATACGAAAAGCTACTCAATTGTTAGGTGCATTTTATTTAGCATATGGCATGCCTGTCTTTGATGGACGCTGCCATGGCCATGAAAGCCTGTTCCACGTTGGTGGCATCTTTTGCACTCGTCTCCATAAAAGGAATTCCAATTTCATCCGCAAAAGCCTGCATAAGCAATTACTCCTTACAACATGATGACTACAAAACAAAACAAAACAAAACTTGACAAGAGAACAAGATAGTGTGTTTAAAAACATGTACTGTACCTTGGCTGTTTCATATGGAACTGCTCTGTTTGCAGCCAGATCACATTTGTTCCCCACCAAGAGTTTGTTCACGCTGTCACTCGCATAACGATCGATTTCACTCAACCACTGCTTCACGTTATTGAAGCTCTCTTCGTCTGTGACGTCATAAACAATCTACCACCACCCACACACTAAGTACATGGTCAAGGAGTGGAAAGTAAGAAGACAAAGAGAGAGAGCAACTCACTATGATTCCATGTGCCCCCCGGTAGTAACTGCTGGTAATAGTCCTGAACCGCTCTTGACCAGCAGTGTCCCACTGGAAAATAATAAAGGTGTCACCCAGGAAGACTAAATGAGAAACTAAACACCTCATTATATTATGCAACAAAAAGAGCTGGATATCAGGGTAATAGTGTAGATAATTATCAACTTGAATACTCTATTCACCAATTAAAAACATAATTGCAAGAGGGAGAAGAGTTTTATACAATTTGGAGCTTAACCGTCTTCCCATCTTGTTCGACAGTCCGAATTTTCTGAAGAGAAAAGGGACAACTTCAGAACCGAAGCCTGATAATCTGTAATAATATAAAAAAAAAAAAAACTTACAAAATCAACTCCAATAGTGCTTATGTAACTCTCTATGTACGAATCATCCTGCACACATAGAGTAAAAGAAATAATCCAATCAGATATTAAGAACACATGCAACTGGAAGCAGTAGAAAAACTACAGATGTCAGACACAGAAGCATCCAATTAAGAGCCGTAGAAATCCTCATTATTCAAAAGCCAATATCCAGATGCCAAAAAAATAAGATTAGCAGATTTACAGGACAGTGAAAATCCCATAAACACTGCTAATGCTCTCACAACTCGGGATTTTTCAGCCTACACATATTAATAGAAATGCATCTGTGGAGGACGAAGATGAGACAGGGGAGGTAGAGGTGGGCATTGACTACCAGAACGGGGAAAGGGGAAGAAAATGTTGTTGTCATAGGAGTCAGTGATCTTTGACAAAAAAAAAAAAGGAGTCAGTGATAAGCAGGAAATGACTGTGATTTCTTGTGAATGGGATACAAAGACCTACAACCTTTGTGTGTTCTCATCACAGGATGCAGTACAATTTTTAAACAATACAACCAAGATATATCGGTTGTGTATCACTAAACATGTAGAGAGTATCAGCTGCTAAAAGTTTGAAGTCAAAATCCAAGGTATTGGATAAGAAAGAGTATGAGTTTCAATACTTACGCATATGGCCAAATTAATACCACCAAACTAAAATAGAGAAGTCTAAACTTACAGCAAATCTTAAGAGTAGACATGATTTCCCAACACCAGAATCTCCGATAAGCAGGAGCTTGAAAAGATAGTCACTGCAGAGTCACAAAGTCGCTAATAAGAGAAGAGAACGATGGCAATAATTGTTGACTAATCGTCGAGACATGGAATCAAATCAATCAAGGGCATATAAGTAGTAAAAAAAACAAATTCCAATAGCCAAGTAATCGTCGGCGGCAACAAACTGGATCAGCTCTCAAAGCCCTACGATTCTAAGGTCAGCGAAGTGCATCAACTAGTACGATACGATAATCTTAGAATCTAAATATCACAGAACCAACAGCCCAAACATAAGTGAGAGAACTTACTACTCGGGATTCATAATTCCGGCGGTGGGAAGCGGTTGATCGGCGGATGAAGCAGAGATCTGTCCTGCCAACGCAAATCCGAATAAAATCCTAGCTGAATCTGAATGAATGATTATCACTAGGTTGGTTCACAAAAAAAAAAAAAAAAAAAAAAAAAAGATTATCACTAGGCTTTGATATTGGGCCAGTCACATGAGCCCAAAACTATTTGGTTGATGCTACTAAACTTATAAAATTTACTATAACATTAAATGTTATAAATCCAAACATTTATAACATTTATAAACATTATAAAATATTAATATTAAATGTTTAAATCTAAACTTATAAAATTTATAACATCCAAACATTAATTTTATTTGGATCACATTGTTTTAAAAAACGTTTTTAATATGGATGTTTATATGAGTTCAAACAAAACTTTTTATAAATTAATAAATTTATAAAATATTATAATTCTAATATTATTAATTTATAGAGATTTTTTTATTATATAATGGATATATTTGCATATGTAATAATTTATTTTGGAAAAATAAAAATAAAAAAGCAAAAAAACCTAAACTTGGGAACGAAGCTTTTTTTTTTTTTTTTTTCTCTCATTTTTCTTCTTTCTATTTGTTTGACGTTGTTCTATTATTTTTTTTTTTTTGTCTTTTGCCAGAAATTAGATAAAAATAAAATTGTCGTCGGACTCTTATCATCTTCCTCGACGAGACAGCCCTGAGATCGATCCGCCGGATCTCCATTGATGTGATGCATCAGAAGAAGTCGGAAGCTCAGATCGGGAAAGAAAGTAGCGGCGTCTCTTCCGATTTCAATCCTTCTCCCCCTCTACTTTTCTTTCCTCAGATCGTGTCTCACCACCACCACCGTGACCCCTCTTCCCCGACCGCCCCTTACAAGCGTCGTTTTTCTCCTTCTCCTCCTCCTTCTGTCTCTTCTCCGGCATCTTCTCTGCCGCTCTCTCTTCGCCGCTTCCCTCTCTTTCTCCTTCTCCTCCCTCTCTCTTATTTTCTCCTCTCCCATCCCACTCGCTCCTTCCTTGTCGATTTCCTCTCCGCCTTCGGTTTCTCCGCCGCTCTTCTTTTCTCTTTAAATCTCGCCCTCCCTCGCCTCCTTTCGATCCGCTTGTACCTAGCACACTCCTTCCCCTCCCCGACTCCTTTGCCCGTCTTCTGGTCCATAGGCTCTCGCCTTAAGTCTGACAAGAGGGGAAGCTCCGATTGCTGGGTCCAGCTCTATAGTAACGGTGACGTTTACGAGGGAGAGTTCCACAAGGGCAAGTGCTCCGGCAGCGGCGTCTATTACTATTCCATGAGCGGCAGGTTTGAAGGTGACTGGCTTGACGGAAAGTACGAGGGCTATGGTGTTGAGACCTGGGCCAGAGGCAGCCGTTACAGGGGTCAGTATAGGCAGGGTCTTCGCCACGGCTATGGGATTTACAGATTCTACACTGGAGACATGTTCTCCGGCGAGTGGTCCAGCGGACAGAGTCACGGCTGCGGAGTTCACACCTGCGAAGACGGAAGTCGCTATGTTGGGGAGTTCAAGTGGGGGGTCAAGCATGGTCTTGGTCATTACCACTTCAGGTATCGATTTACTAAGCCATTCTTGTAGCATGTATTATGAGGACTTGTATCTTGTGATTTGGGTCTGGCAACTGTGTTTTAAAAGGTGGTTTCCCCTTTAATTGTACAATGCCTCACTGTTGTAAGTTACAGTCTGCGTTCATGAAATTAGACGTTTTTCTGATAATTCAATCTTGTTTGTTTAACTAAGACAATCTTGTTTGTTTGTTTAACTAGGAACGGGGACGTATATGCTGGAGAATACTTTGCTGACAAGATGCATGGATCCGGGGTCTATGTGTTTGCAAATGGTCATCGGTACGAGGGAGCCTGGCATGAAGGTAGGCGGCAGGGGCTGGGAATGTATACATTCAGAAATGGAGAAGCACAGTCAGGGCATTGGGAGAATGGGATTCTCGACATTCCAAGCACTCAAAATACAACTTGTTCCGTATCTTCTGTTGCAGTCAACCATTCCAAAGTGCTAAATGCAGTCCAAGTTTGTCTCTGCAACTTATAAGAAATGAGCAAGTCTTTTGGTTTCTTGTATACACTAGTATTGATCCAAAAGCATTTGTATTCACAGGAGGCACGGAGAGCTGCCGAGAAGGCTTATGATGTAGACAAGGTTGATGAGAGAGTTAATAGAGCAGTTACAGCCGCCAATAGATCAGCCAATGCTGCAAGAGTGGCGGCCGTCAAAGCTGTCCAGAAACAATCTAGAAACATGGACAACTTTCCGATTCCTGTCGTGTGAACCAACTCTAGTACATAGGCAAAGGGAGAAGCAGCAATCAAGTCGACAAGTGTCACCAACTCAGACACTCTATGTCTCATGGAGCAATGGAAAACCATGGTTGATGGGTTGGTTCAAAAGAGATGTATATAGAGAGCTCTTGCCAATGCTGAATGTAAAGCTCACGGCTTAATTCATCTTCTGGCTTCTTTACAAGGCTCGGCAGAGACATAGGCTATAACGGCTGAATTCACCACGAACGAGTTGTTTTGTGTGCCCTAAATCCAGTAATAAAAAAAACAAATAACTCATAGAATGTGGCCTGGCACTGAGAACTTCACATTGTGTGTTTCCTTTTCAGACTTTCAATTCCAATGGGAATCGTTTGAATCTGCTTCCTCGGGTACCTTTTCCGTTTCAAGTTACTTGATTCACCTCACTCAGAAGTCAGATCTTAGCTCGTTTCTTCACTTTCTTGTTCATATGCATCTTTAGGAATCTCCGGCTGTGTTTAGAGGAGGACTCGTCGGTGTAGTGTATTCCGAGAAGAATTCACGGCGGCTAGGTAACATCAATTCACTCTTGTTTCTTGTTTTTCTCTCCCCTCTCTGTGATGTCTTCCTTACTTGACAAGATGTATTTAAACATTCTCAGACCAATTGTCTGCTCGAGTTCTTTCCGCCATCGACGATGAATGATACTCACTCCCCAAATTGACATTTCCATCAAACAAGTCACTCATGATGCAGCCTCAGAATCACATAATAGGGTACGTATTCTACACCATAATCATCATTCTTTTAGATCAATCAATAGTATTTCCGGAGAATCAGATTGGATTTTCCCTAAGTTGATAGGCTCCAGATTGGACTTTATGCTTGGTAATAGTATATATTTGGCTGCTGCTAATGCAACACAATCCTTAGGGTGCCAAAAAATGATCTTATAAATTTGGGCGTCAATCTCATCATCTTGTAGGAAAAGATGCATGTTCAATTGACCCAGCAAACCTCGGAAAAAGTTGATGAGCAAGAGCCCAATGCTTTTGGAGCTAAGAAAGAGACAGGAAACATGTGGATGCCTGATGCTCAAGTGATTAGGGCAAAGGTTTATCTTTCACTTCCATCTGCAAAGGCCAATGCACATTTTGTGAGAGAGCTTCGACTCCGTATTAAAGAAGTTCAACGGGCACTTGCTGTTGCCTCCAAGTATTCGGATCTGCCAAAGAAGTAAGTGTGCCCCTTTTTTCTCACCTGTTGAAAACATGTTTCTTCCTCTTAACTGATCTCTCTGCCATTTTCTGAACCCAATGCTACTGAATAGCTAAAAGCAATGGAGCGAACACTGGCCAAAGGCAAGCAGATCCAAGATGACGGCTAATAGTAGTCACATTACAAATAGTATTCACATTTAAACTCTCTTCCACTCAGATAATAGACTTTTAGTGATCTTTCCTTTAATTAGGCATTCGCTGACTTGAAGGGTTTTGCTGCACACCTTATCTGCCGTAACCCCAAGATGCAAAGCTATGAAGAGATATCTAAATTTTTCTTCGTCTGGAGGGAAAGAGAAGTGAATGATTTCTCCAAAATTAGAGAAATCATCACGCACTTGTTCCGATCTGCTAGCTCGAGATAGATTCTTAGAGAAACCACTAATACATAATGATTTATACCTCAAGTCTACAAACCGGGTAAGAAAAACATCACGGTTCCTCAACTTAGCATCTTTAAATTCCACTAAAGCTTCCGCTGCTAATTCAGGAGATGAAAACTTTATTGAATAAGTTCCGTCCTTATCCCTTGCGAAGCATTTGAAGAACTTCAAGTTGTTAAAATTCCAGTGATTTAACATTCGAAAAATCAGACAAGAATATAGAAAAACAGAACATAAATAACTTACACATTAGTATTCGAGATTGAGGAGGGAACATCAGAAAGCAAGAGATGATCCATCTTCATGAATCCTTCATACGAAGAGGATAAATACTAGGTATCCCACGCAACAGGTGAGGATTCGCTAGAAGATGCAACAGTCACTTCAAGCTGTTAAACGACGCTTGTTATAGTGAAACTCATACGTTGTATATTCAATTGAAGTCACATACGGTTGATGAAATCAGAGAGGTCAGTTTCACTATGAGTTTGTGATGGTTTCGTTTGGGACTGATAGCTTGCAGGCTGTGAGAAGGGACAATAAACAACGTTTAGCCTCATAGATGAGAATGGAGAGCTCTTGATTCGCGCAAACCAAGGCCACTCGATCACGGTAAAAAGAACTTGAAACAATCCGCCGCACTTTCTTCTTCATTTTTAATTTGTGTTGAAAAGTTGAGACCTTTCCATTTACTTGCAGCAAAATTTGCGCTTGCCATGTCTTCTTTCTGTTTAACACAGTAGCACTATGATTAGATTTTTGTTTCCCTATTTTTGATCAATATGCTTTGTAGTTTAAGCTTTAGCTTTTTGTCTTTGTGTGCAGACGGTTGCGGTTGAGTCAGAGAAGTTACTTAAACCAATCCTGTCACCAGAAGAAGCTCCAGGTAACAAAGTACTAGGACACATACTTGTGACTTCTGTTATGTCTTGCTTGGTTGTTCATATTCATTTGAATTTCTGTGATTGCAGTGTGTGTGCATGGAACTTATAAGAAGAATTTGGAATCCATCTTATCATCGGGCTTAAAGCGCATGAATAGACTGCATATTCACTTCTCTTGTGGCTTGCCAACAGATGGTGAAGTGGTTAGTGCTAAGATTTTGATCCTATTGTTGTTGTTCCTGCAATATTGCATATGCACATTAAGGCATGAGAAGGAACGTCAATTTTTTTATCTTCCTCAGACATCAAGAAAGCTCTTGAAGGTATGTCTTAAAGCTAGTGCTATGCCCTCCAAAGATTCAACATTTTAGTAGTACTTTTGATCCATCCAGATGGGATTGCATTCTACATTTCAGACAACAAAGTGATTTTGACTGAAGGCATTGATGGTGTAGTGCCTGTCGATTACTTCCAGAAGATCGAGTCTTGGCCTGATCGAAAACCTATACCTTTCTGATTCACAGAACTCAACATTAATGCGTGAATGCGAAGATTCACAGGTTCTATGACAATGATTGTGGAGATTCTTGTGAACCTTGATTATGTAATGTCTCAGTGTCTTCAACTGCAACATGACAATTTATCAACTTTCAAAGTTGTGTTATGAGCATAAAGAAACCAATTGATAAAAAAAAGGGCCTTTAACGTTAGAAGAATTCAAAGCCCAGCTTTATGAAAGGAATAATATGGCCCAATAGATAAAATACTGATAAGTGGGCGGGTGGGCATGGGTTTATTTAAACGATGTCGTGTTCATGTTAGCAAATCGTGTGTTTTTTTTAATCTTCTGTAACTAAATCGTCGTGCTTCTTCGAATCTTTGTAAGAACCCTAAATCGTGTAACTCGTGCTCTATCTCATCCTCTCCGATAGCAGTGATTTTTCCGGAGATCAATAGATCATCTTCTCACCCTAGAAGACACTGAAATTCTAGAGACATAGACAGAGAAACTCGGGATTGATTCAATATACCGAGACCGAGTTCGTAATTCTCGAGTTTCAGAGATAGAGACTCGGTCGAAGAGCCCTTGCTTGACTGGATACTGAGTCAGTAATCTTTGACCTACAAGGTATGTTTTTGAGACACCCAATTAAGTGAGAAACGATTTCAATTAAAATCACATGTTCTGAATCTTCTTATTAAGAGTAATATTGTCTACACTGATTGAAGGTTTTCAAATTAACAGATGATCAATGGCTCCACAATTTAAATCGGCTTTTGATAGTATTTTTTTTGTGTGGAATTGATGGTTTTGATTTTGCAGTTAAAATTATTTATTCCTAAATTTGGTCGAGAATAGCCAATGAGTTTTTGTGTGGGCTGAGTTTTTGGTGGCCAAGTTTCTGATGGTCTGGAATTGGGCTGGGTAAAATAGCCCAGATTAACAGCCCTAGCCCCTAGATATAGGCCTCCTAAGCCACTGGGTGTTTTCGTAAATTTTGTTGTAGATTTTTTGTTTGTTACAATGGTCTTTCTCGCACCATAACACTTCCACTAACTCCGTCGTCGTCCCGCCGGTTTCACAGCTTGTTGGTGACTCAGCAAGCACGTCGAACTAACTTGGTCGCCGCCATCTCTCGTTGTTATTACGTGGTTCGCACCTTGTTAAGCCACGTGTTGCTGTCGTTAATTCCACACACAACTCTCTTCGCTTTAAACATTCATCTTTCTCTCTGATCATCTTCTCCTTACCTTACCTTAGCTCGCTCTCTCTGTTTTAACTCCTCTATCAGATTTTTATCTTCAGATATGCCTAAGAAGCAGGTTTGCAACTTTCTTTTGAGTTTTCCTCAATCTGGGTATATACATCGGGATTTAACGATTGTCAAATTTTAAATCCTCTCTTATATGATATGACTCTCTCCAAGATCTGCACTTTCTGGGGTTTGATTGCTTCGTTCACAATGTATTAGTTTGTCGTGCAGTGATATGACTATGGAGTTTTGATTATCTGGAAACGAGTTTGAATTTGTTTCTTTATACATTGAAACTTTATGCTTTAAAATCACGGATTATTAATTTCAACACTCCATGACTAAGAGAAGAGTGCGTGAGTCCCACTCGCGTCTCTCTCCTCTCTCCTCCTCTTCTTCTTCTGATAACAACCGCGTGCACCGAGTGAAGGGTTTCTCCGGCGATTCCGGCGTTGATGAGGAACCCATGGTCCATGGCGCGTCATCCGTAGTCCTTTGCATTTTACCGGCGAGGTCACCAAATCGAAATCAAGGGAGTTTGTGGAGAGGAGAAGCTTCCGCGGGACGCTCCGGTTAGAGCTCTACCGGAGATGTGGCGACGCGGAGTGAAGAAGGAGGTTTATTGGCAAAGAACAAGTAAGGTCGGCGGTTAGATCTAGACGATTGGAGACGCAGGAGGCTTTATCACGGCCGGCGGTTTGGCGGGGGAGGTCTACGGCAGGTAAGGCAAAGCTATGCCACCGTCGCCGGTTATCTACGTCTACTCCCTACTGTTTTACCTCTCTCACGACTGAGCCGTGGTCTCCCGACGGTTAGCTTGGTTTCTTCTTCCTTCTCTTCACAGCTCTACGGTGGCGGGATGGCGATGGTCCTGTGTCGTCTTCTCCGTTCGATCTCGTCTTCCTGGCTCGCCGGTGGTCCTGTTCCGGCGAGTGTCTGCAGCTTCGTGGGAAGACGGCTTCGATCGGGTTATCCGATTGAAGATTAGGGTTTCTGTGTTCCCTCGGTTTAGATCGGTTCTGCTGGACGTGGCCAATGACATATATAATCAGAATGAAATTCACATTTATCACAAAAAATATCATTGTAAAAGCTGCTATCGGAGTCAAACCGATTTCTACCACAAAAAAGATTGTGGTGCTCTATCATCTGAGCTAAGCGAGCTAAATTCAAACAAATCAGTAATTTTAAGAGAATCTACAGCACACAATCCGAGAATTACCCTTACTTGAAAACAAGAACAAGGAAACACTGGATTTGTTATGCTGCTCTCGAATTACCCAATCACAATTCAAATCAACAAATTCACTCGGATAGATCAAAACCAGCAATCAATAGAAACAATTTAAAATCTCAAAACAAGATCAATCAGAATCGGAAAAATAGTTTCAAGAACAAAATATCGTGTAGAAAAGTTGATATTCGCAATCGACAAAATCTAAAACACACAGAACAGAATATACAAAACGATAAATCACAAAGAGCATCGAATCAAGTCGGAGATACATGTAAAGAATAACAACAAACAAGAGACAAGGATCGAAATAGTTTCAGCAGAGGAAAAGGAAACAGAACGATCTAAGGGTTCGAAAACGCTTTACCTCAAAGATATATGCAGGAAAGAGTGTAGCGGCTAGGGTGAATAAAGATCGATCTATGGAATTAGCAATGAGAGTCGTTTATTTATAGCGTTGAATCGAAACAAAAGTTAGGGTTTAACATAAAATAATAACACTCCCAAAATTACAATTATGCCCCTCTTTCACCGTCAATACTCTTGGTCTTGGGCCTTGGGCCTTGGGTCGGTTGTGTTTCATGAATCCTAGTTGATATAATAGTCCAAAATTTAATTTTAATGTTGAGTGTTCGATCCAAAAGTAGACAGCGAGCTAAAGACATCTTTAAGTATGTTACAAACATTTAATCACACCTTTAAATTAAGGCAATTCAAACAAATGGTTTAGCTACTTATCATATATATCCATGTTCTTCTCCCAAAAACTTCAATGATTGTGTAGCAAACTCAACTATCGTGGTAATATTAGTTGGAACATCACTACTTCTATATGACACTCTTCTCTACTAGTATTTGTTACCTCAATGAATGCACATTCTGAAGAGGCACTTGTATCATTTATTTATTCAACATCAAATAAAAAAGAAGAATAATTAACATATATTAACCTCAAAATCTCATGACAATGGAAACGGTTTATTATAATAACAATCATAAGTGTCCCATTCCACGAGCAACCTCAAGCGAGAGCACCTTCCATGTTTCATAAGTATTCAGAAAAATTCCAGAGGACCTGAGATTGAGACCGGAGGATCTATCACTAAGCGGCTCGCCTTCCCTTCTAAGTAAAGCTGAGGTAACGTGTTGGCC